CTGAGAGTTGGTGGGCGAAGGTCAAGAAAATTGTGGCATTCATGGAGCCTGTTTGTTGAAAAGGATGGACAAGGAAGGAGTTAGTCCCACCAACATCCTAGAGTTCGACGATATAATTGTAAGGAAATTGTCAAATGTCGTGCTCGCGAAGATGGAGAGGGAAGACGTAGAGGGAAGACGTTATGGCAAAGGTGAATGACCGCGCGCAGATGATGAGACAACTCTCAAACGCAGCTACATTTCTTCTCCATCCACGAAGGAGAAACCCCAGTTGGCTGAACGATCCTGACAGCCCCCTCGTGCAAAACGCAATGCGTTACTTGATGAGACAGATTGGGCGGACGTGGAATTCAAAGCAGCATGTTAACATGTGGGATTATTTGTGGGAGTTCTTGAGAGAGTCTATGGAAGGGGAAGTCTGGAAAGACGAACACATGTGGACAAGTCGTGCAAGAGAAGGAGCCAAGCGATGTGCACGTCAGGACTGGTGGGGATTACATGGTGGAGATGTCCCAGAATTGCAGAAGATTGTCATCAAAGTGTTGAGAATGTGGAGCACAGCCACACCTGTGGAGCGCAATTGGGCTTCATTGGACTTCGTCCATTCGAAGAGGAGAAACAGTCTCTCGCCGGAGTCATTCGAGAGCTTGTGTACATTCATTGGAACATGCAGTTGCTGCGTGTTCGAGCTACGTTGACACGTGGGGATCCTTGCTCGACCGGGACTGTTGTGGTCCGTCCTTCGCTTGTTTTCCCTCCCCTCTCGGATCTGTTATAATACAAGGATGGATCCAGACCGCGAACCAACTGTATTCGCAGTGAATATGACACAAACAGCTCAGACTGAGCGGCTCAATATTATGTGTAAGCCCGCTTGGATTCAGAGCCTTCGTAGACGAGAAAGGCCCGACTGTGTCTGGAGCCTCGCGCTCATAAGCTGCGCGCGGCTCAAGTTTCTCTCGGGCCAGCCAACGATCGGGGTTTTCGTAAACAACAAGGCTTGCATGCACATGAACGGAGTGGGTTTCCCCAGGACTTGCTCGGAACCGGAGTTCCCCTAGGTGAGAACGGCTTGTCGCTGCACACAAAAAAAACAGACCAGTTGTCGAAACCTAGCTGCATACAAGCGAACAAAGAGAGTTCTCCCCGAGACCGACTACCGACCAGAGTTCTCGTAAGCAAGAGGGACCCGACTGCATACACGTGAACCAGTAGAGCAAAGCCGAGCAACGTGAGTCCTTATGAATGACACACACATGAACTACCCAGTTCCTGAAGCCCAACAGCATGCATCCGAACAGACCGAGTTTCCCCGAGACCGGTTAGTGACCAGAATTCTCGTAAAAGAGAATGACCCGAATACCGAGTAGATCCCGCGAGCGACCAGAGCTCTCAAGATGGTAACCGATCCGACTGCGCCCCGGCGCCTTGCTCCTTGGACAGGTGGAGCTGTCAACACAGAGAAGGCCAACCGTGACTCAGAGCCGATGTCGATCTCGTGTCACTTGCTCTCGGCACCCTTCCCCCTTTCTCATTCTTTTTTTCGCTCTCTCTCCCCCTTTTTCTCCCTCGTCTTCCTCTCGCTTCCCTCGCTCCAGTTCTCACTCTTCCTCGCTCCGTCTCTCTCTCTTTCTCCCTCTCTCTCTCTCTCTCTCTCTCTCTCTCTCTCTCTCTCTCTCTCGCTCTCTCGCTCTCTCTCTCTCTCTCTGTATGCTCGAACCCAAAAAAACTCTCTCTCTCTCTCCTTTTGTTTCTCTCTCTCTCTCTCTCTCTCTCTCTCTCTCTCTCTCTCTCACACACACACACACACACACACACATGCGCAAAAAACAAGTATAAGCATTTAATTAATCCATCGATCGACGTGCTGCGCCGCACCTCATCAGACTCTTTATCTTCCTCCGGAAAACAGAAAACAGGTGTTTATCCGAACGAAAACACCGAACCCAAAAAAAAAAAAAAAAAAAAACCGATCCGAAACAAAAGCTTATTCCCGAAGTCATGCACCGAGGCGCATCGCACGCAGCCCGTAACCCGTAGTTGAGCTACGTCGAGCGATGGGCGCGGTCTAGAACTTGTAACTCAGCGAGAAGCACGCGAGGCGGAGACCACCAGTTGAACTTCACAACACTGACCATGGAGTATCCATAGCCGGACCAGAGAAAACAAAGCAGCCGAAGAGGCTCGAAGTTCCCAGCCGAAATTCTCGAAGCAGGACTAGGGCTGCGCGCAGGCTAAAAGCGCGGCTCGATTCGGCGTTAGCCGTAACCCCGGGCTCGTAACCAGCGAGCGCGAGGTAGCTACCCAAAATTACGAAGCGGAGCCGGTGATGTGCGTAGGCAGAATCACGCGGATGAGCGCGGCAAGCTCACGAGGCCGAGTCGCCAAACTCTTTCAAGGTTGTGACCACGGGGCTACGACCCCCCTTCTCTCTCACAATATCTCTCTCCCTCCCTCTTTCGTCCGCGCTCTTGCCCTCGTTTCCTATTCTCTCCCTTGCCTTCACTCCCACTCTCATCCTTGTTTTCCTCCCTCTCCCTCTCGCTCTCCTTTTCTCCTCCTCCCTCTTTCTCTGTCTCTTTCTATATCTCGCGCGGGCGAGAGTGGAGGCCCGTCGATCTTCGAGTTTTCAAAAGTCGAGCGGCAGCAGATGCATTAACGCCCGATACTCGAGTGACCCCAGCTCAGTCCGGATGGCAGCTGACCCCGCGTGACCCGTTTTCGTTCCTCCTTCACCCTCTTCGTCTCCCTTTCTCTCGATCCTCGAGTGCCTAATAGAAGTCGTTCGTCTCCCTCCTCTTTCTGCTCTCCCCCCCCTCCTCTCTCTCTCTCTCTCTCTCTCTCTCTCTCTCTCTCTCTCTCTCTCTCTCTCTCTCCCTCCGTTCGCGTTCGTAGGCGCAGACACTCAGCCGTCTTCGAACGTTAGTACGTTTCGTGCGCCTCTCTTTCCTCCCCTCTCCCTCGTACGTCCCCGCCCCCCTGCTGTGGTCTCGAAGTCACCTTCTTTACTGGCATTCCTGGCGCCGAGCGTTCGCCCTCGCGCGCGCAGGCTCGTGCGTTCTATGGACTACTCCCGAGCGCCTACGTACTCCCCCCCTTCTTCTCCTCTTCTCCTTTTCCTTACATAGTCTTTACTCCTCCCTGCGTCGATCCCTTGTTGTCTGCCTTTGCCCAATCCCGTTGCGTCCCTTTTTCTATCACTTCCCTCTCCGTACCTTTCTCACCTCCCGCCAATATTTCGTCGAATTATTCGTTTTCCTGGTTATGCCTTTGCCAATCTCCCGCTCATTTTTCGAGCTCTTCTTCCCACCTGTTGAGGTTATACCTCCCAGCTTCGTGATCCACCTCCCCTCTCCCTCATCCAATCGCGAAGACCTCCCCGGTGCCTGTGGATGCAAGGTTTCTTCAGCGTTAGCACGTTCGTACCTCCCCCCCCCCTCTCTATTACCTGCTTCTTGGTGAGTTCCCGCAGCGGAAATCCCGCCCATTTGCCTTTCTTCCTTTCCCGCTAGCTTCATCGCGCGCTCCTGCTTACTGCGTCGCAGGAGCCTGGCTCCTTGTCCGTTCGTCTTCTTCTTGCTTTCCGCTCGCTCGGCAGCGCCCTCCCACTCCAGGTTTTGGTGAACCCCGGATCCCGCCTACCAAACTTCTTTCACCGTACCTGGCCTGATTCCCAACCGCCGCACTCACTCCGTTCTTCGTGACGGTTTTCAAGAACCGTCGACGGTTGAGCTTCGCGCCTGATCTTCCCTCAGCTCTCCTTGCCCGACTCCTCCTTCGTGTTTCTCACCACACAACAGGCCCTAGCAATCCATGCATAAAATTTTCGCCTCTCCTCCTTCTTGGTCAGATTCATCACGCGCAGCGTCTCCGGCTCCTCGATACCCTGCTTCTTCGGTTCCTGGTTATTTAGGTACGTTGGCCAGCTCAGTTTCCTTGGCGCGGCCGACCTGGCGAGAGCCTATCCCTGTTGACAACGGGCCTCCTCAGGTCGAGGAGAGCCCCATAGCAATCGTACTCGCCGAGTCACAGTGGCACCAAAAATAGACTGGGGAACAGCACCGCTCCGCAGCCTTGCTGCGCCACGGTGGTGCTGAGGTTCACTGGGCCGCATCATCGTAAAGCAAATGGCGCCGAAGTTGACGGGGAAGTCGTACCGAGGCCCCACGACTTTGGCGAGATCAAGTCACGTCGCGTATCCGTAGCCCTCCAAGGCCTGTCCATAGTTGACGCTCGGCCCCCTTGTCGCCCGCCCCCCTTTTTTTGTTCTCGATACTCTTTATGGTCTGCCCCAAAGCTCGCAGCCAGTCCTTTTAAAACTGGCCTTTGCAGCCCGTCCCTGCCTGCTCGCGATCATGGTTCAGACCATATTATCGGGTCGGCCAGAACTCCAACCACCGCCCCCTCCCTTTCGTTAGAAATATTCCTGGTCACCACTTCCTCCTTCCCCTTCGACCCTTACACGGAATCCCGACCGATTTGCCACTGGCTTCCAATCGACAGACCGACTCCTGTGTACAACCGGCACACTCAGGCCCCTTCGTGCCGGCGCCTCTCACCCCGAGTAATCTTGTGTGGTCGCCGTATAGTGTCGGCTGTACGACAAAAGTCGTGGTATCTCTCCCGATCTCTCAGTACAAGCGAATCCCGCCACGTGTATCCATGGTAGACCGGTGGTCACTCGTAACCAAGGCCTAGAGTTTTCGCAGGGTCTCCGTTGCAGGTCCGGTCCAGGCCCATCCTGATGCACACCGCTCTCCCCGCATTTTTCAGATTTCGACCTCGAAAACTCCGATCTTTTACGACCTGCCCGTGCCCGCTAGCAACCAAGGTATCGATTTTTACTCCAGCCAATCGAAAGGTTAGTACGAAGACCCGGACGCCCGAGGTCATATAAAAACACCATACCAACATGCAAACGTCAGAACCAAGCAAAAACAGCGAAAAAAGAAAAAATGTTTCTTATTTCAAAGAAAAAAAAACCTTCGGCTGGTAGGCAGCCGCCCGACACCGTGACCCACGTGCTTCGATCAGGGCCCTTCAGAGGCACCGCCCTTTCTCCTTCCAGATGCGCCACCGGGAAGTTTGTCGTCTCTCAAGGTAGAGCGCTCACGACACCTCACCAAAAGAGAGGATTCTCAAGCTGGACTCACTTCCTCGCGGTAAGAAGAGATTGAGAGGGTAGATAATGTAAGGGAACAACGTACCTGGAGATAGCTGCCCCCAACCACAGATTTCTCACCAATTGAGCTGAGTGTGCATTTGATGACCGGTCGTAGCCTCGGTACCACCCACAACGCAATGCAGTGCCACCTCAACCAAATGCCACATCAGCATGCTCTCATCACCAATCATACATTCCGCCGTCGCCACGGCATCCCAAGCCGTACAACATTCCGGCACACACCTCTCTACCCAGGTCGTGCGCCTAATATCGGCCTGACGTCACAAGAACCAACTGCGAAGAAGCATCGTCAACGCACCAAGTCTGTATAACGCCAGTGCACCAAGGTAAGCGGCGAATCGAACCAGCTCCGATACCAAATTGCAAGGAACATGAATGTGGACGAAGCACAGAAATCCAAATTGCAAAATCACACTGAAGTCCATGTAGTCAAAGCAAGAGCAGAAAGCACAATGGAACCAAGGAACCATCCATTTGAGAACGATACAGCAGAATCGTGAGTCAATGTCCAAGCCCAATCGGGCAACACCAACAACATAACCCAATGTAGCTCTCTCTCTTGAATGGCGCCAGGCGCCCTATCTACTCTACAGCCTATCCCTACAACTACAGCATGAAAGCAACCAGACAACTTGACGGCCAGCGAGTGATGACGTGAACACCAATGCCGACCTCCTCTCCACCAGGTACGTCTCTCTTTTCTCCCTCACTCTCCCTTGTTATCCCACACAGCGCCCTTCACCTTCCGAAGAACCACCTTCGCCCTCACCTCCCTCAGCGCCATCATGCAGCCCAGCTATGGCCGCCAGCGCCCTGCGCCCAGGCTGCGCCCTACCGCTTAGCGCCAGCCTGCCTGCTCTCAGCCTAGCGCAGCGCAGCACCTCACAATGCTTCGGCGTGCCGATATTGCTCACAATGGCCAAGATCCCTGCCCACTCGCCTGTTCTGCCTATATGCCAGTGTTGCGTGTGGGCGGTCTGCCTCGAGCCTGCGCCTGGGCCCCAGTACCTGTACCCAGGCCCAATGCAGATGGGGCCCAGGTAATACAGTTGTGCCCCTTATGCTAGGGCTGTTGTCCAGATTCAGGCCCTGTACCGGTTTCCCATTGGTTTCCTCGGCCTCCACGACGAAATACTGCTTTTCTGAGGCCAGGGACCAATGTGTGATGTGTCGGCCTCCCAGACTGTCGCCCAGGGCTCAACCAACCGAGGCCCTGGGCTCAACAGCCTTTGCAGGAGTCTAAGGCTCACGATGCACTCCAACCAACTCGCGTGCGGCAACTGCCTGATACCCACTTTGTGAAATGCTGAATGAAGGTCTCTCGTGGATATTCTGGCCCACCTTCACTTAGGGCGGGCACGAGGCAAAAGAGCGAAAAAAATAAAAATTGATGATGACAGACTGTTTCGTTGGAGTTGCACCGACTCATCAGGAGGCTGTGGAGGTGTTGTCACAAGCTGCAGAAACCATCTTCGATGGAAGTAGCCTCTCTCTATCTCTCTGCATGTATGGCTGGAAAACTCTCTCTCTCTCTCTCTCTCTCTCTCTCTCTCTCTCTCTCTCTCTCTCTCTCTCTCTCTCTCTCTCTCTCTC